TTACACTCCTCTAATCCCATAAGAGGAGGACAGAATCACCATCAATAGCCCAAGGCCTATTCCTTTGAAGCCAGACATGCTGCCTCCCTCCACCCCTTTCACCACCATTCCTCCTGCAGCACTCATCACCTTTCTGCTGGGTTTAATAATTTATTGCAATGGCCACACAGAACTCACAGATTATGAGGTTTAATAGGGAAGCACCAGGCTACAATTCAAGTTCAGGAACAACACTCAGTCTCTCTCAGCCCACAGTCTCTCAGCCCACAGTTTCTCACAGTCTCTCTCCCAGCAGTGCATGTCTTTTGGTGTCTCTCTCATCAATGCGTGTCTCTTGTGTCTCTTTCCCAGCAGCGCATGTCTCTCAGGAGCACATTTCTCTCCAGAGTGTGTTTCTCTGAGGAGTGCATTTCTTCCAACAGCATGTTCTTCTCAGCCAGCAGTCAGAGAGACTGCTGCCTCTAGGAGGCCTCCTTTTGAGTCTGGCAGAGTGGCCAAACTAGCCAATCATAACATCAGAATTCTAAGCACCTGGGAGACAGTGAACTTCCCAGAACGTTGCTTTCTGCCACTCTCAACAGAAATACCCCAGGTGGATAACTTTAATAATCAGGAGCTCCTCAGTTGCTTAGAGCAAACACCACCACGGAGTTTACAAAGACTTATGGCTAGAAAAGCCATACCAGATAATTTACTACACTGCAGATGGTTACACAACATTGTAAGTGTGATTAATAACTCTGGATGAGACACTTGAAAATGGTTAAGATGACACATTTTATGTTTTATAGATTTTACCACAATTGAAAACAATTGGCAAATTTTGCATTCTTCACTAATGCTTTTTTTTAAAAAACCTTCACTGTCACCTTTTCTGAAATGTTTCCTGACTTCATTCTGTTGTCAATGAAACCTTTAAACTGCTTAGATGATAAATAGTAATGCCAACAGAAACAGAAATTGAAAAGTGAGTTGGGAAGTGGTACTGACTTTTAAAAAATCTGTACTCTTCTTTTGTAAATTAAAACAGAGGGCAAGACCTTGATAATTTATAATAATTTCTGCAAAAATTAGATAATGAAACGATGCAGACAGAGATATTATTGAAAGAAAGTTAGCAAACACATCCAACAATGAAATGTCTGGTACGATGTATTTTATCTGCTCTCTTATCCACACTTCTCTCATCTTCAGTCCCCAGGGATCCTTAAGGGATGTGAGGTAATAATAGTAGCCTGGAAGTCTTTTCTAAAGCCATTGATCACAGTCATTGTTCTCACTCTCCACTACTAGAACACCGGTGTGTTGATGTTAGCTGACATCTCTATCCCAGAGTCCATTGAACAAAGAAACTCCAAGGAGGCCAATTTTTAAATATGTAGATTTTTTAAATGATGGAAGTAATTTTGTTTGTTTGGACAATTAAAAAATACAGCCATAAATTAACAGTCTCTTCTCTTCCTCTTTACTCGCCTCAAATTCTACTTCCATGGGAATAAACAAAACAAAACAAACCAGTATATTGTTGAGTTGACTCTGACTCATGGCGACCTTTTGTGTGTCAGAGTAGATCTGTGCTCCAGAGAATTTTTAATGGCTTATTCTTCCCAAGTAGATCAGCAGGCCTTTCCACCCGGGCACCTCGGGGTGGACTCAAACCTCTAATCTTTTAGTTAGTAGCTGAGTGTGTTAACCATTTGCACCCCTCAGGTTCTCCCTAGCAATAGTTTGTATTTTTTCACATTGTTTTCTTTGTACAGATTAAGATCTACAATATGTGTGGGCTGATTGCGTTTATTAAACAGTATGCATTCTTCCGCAACAGAAGGACATTTAGATTTTATTCCTAAGTTTTTTGTCATCAGAAAGTATTTGTTGAAAGAAACAAATATTTTGCACTCTCACTAAAATCAAAACAATTGTGTATTTTTATGTAAATAAAGTTTTCATTTGTTCATGATAATTTTCCAGATATAAGATTGCTGGGTCACAGGGACTGTGCTTTTTTTTTTTTTTTTATCACAATAGATATTGCCAGATTTTTTTTTTTAAAAGGTTGTAGAGAGATATTGCAATGAATAATCTGAGGCCATATTTCCTATATTCTTCTCATATAAATGTGTTTTAAATTATTATGTTATTTTGTTTTTATCAAAACAAGAATACCTGATTAAAAATTAAAGTAGCTTTAGAAGGTAGCAATGTCCTTCTATCTCTTCCATTCTGCTCTTAAAAAGGGAATCACTTCTAACTGTTTTAGATATTTCTTCTGGTACATATTTCTTTCTAGATATCTAAATATGTCAAAGTGCTTACATAGCTCTGTTTTACATTTTGCATGTGAGGCATCTCTCTTGACCTCCTCCTATACTTTGTGTTTTGCATCCCAGACATTGTTTCATGCTCCCAACTCCGTAATGCAGTTATTTCAATGTTAGTTGAATATATACTCTGTATTAACATTATGATAATAACATTAATTAACATTTTTCAAAGTTAAATCCTGAGGTATCCAACTGTTATTTATTTTTTTTTTCTAGAATTGGTAATTGCTTTGTTTTTCCGTTTGCTTTGTTTTCTGTGTACCCATCACAAATACTTCCCCAAACCCTACCCCAGAGCTTTCAAAAAAAAAAATAAATAAATAAGCTCACTGCCATCAAGTCGGATCCGACTCATAGCAACCCCTCCGTGGTTTTCTGAGGCAGTATGTCTATGGAAGTAGATTGTCCAGTTTTCCTTCCAAGGAGTGGCTGGTGGGTTTGAACCACCAGCCTTCTAGTTAGTAGTCAAGTGCCTTAGGCACTATGCCACCAAATATGATCAAACACATCAAGTCATCTTTACTTCTATTTTTATTTTATCATTTATACATCATTTCATTTTTTAAGATTTTAGAGTCCCCTTTCCTGCAGCTCTGTCCTTGCTTAAATCTTGGTTGCTTGGTTTTCTCAGCCACCTCCTGACATCATTCTTCACAATCATCCAGAGGATTTCTTTTGTGTTTCTCTTTTGGTAGATCATCTCTTTCCTGAATCCTGCATCTGTCCATTTACTCACTCACTTACTCCATTTACTCACTCATTTTGGTGAAGCAGCTCCACTAGGAGCTTTCTGAAAAATAGTACTTGAAAGAGAAATTGTTGAGTCCTTCCAAGTATCTTTATTGGTTCTTTTCTTGAACATAAAATTCAAAGTTAGAAATAACCTTCAGTTGAAATTTTGGAGCAATTACTTCCCTGTTTTCTAAAACCAAATATTGCTAATAAGTAGTCTGGTAATTTTATTTTATGTATTTGTCCTTGGAAGCTTTTAAGATATTTTCTTTATCTTCACTATTTAAAAATGTTGTGATACCTTGAATTATGGTGAACATTCATTCAGTGGACCCTTTTAATATAAAAAATAAGTTCTTCACCTACATGTGGCAGGCCTGCTTTATAAGCTGTGGTCCTGCGTCCACAGTGAAGGCTCAACAAATAAAGAAACCAAGTAAGTTCTTATACTTCTATTACTTTGACATTGTTCCTCCTGGACTGTTGCTGTACTGTTGAAATAGGGTAAAATGTCTACTATTTTTTGCTATTCCTCTCTTCCCAGATTTAGATTTCAGTTTTCTCAATCTTGTTAAATCCATTTACCCCTCATCAATTCATTTTTAATCTCCCCCAAAAATGTTGCTATTCCTTCTCTCATAATGTTTTCACCTAATTTTTTGTGGAAAAAAAATCCCTTTACTGTAATGTAATTTTAGTGAGAATGTAGGGTAAGTGAAGGTATATACATGTATTCATTCTTCTGTGTTTTCAGAAGACATAGCAAAAATGTCTTTAAAATATTTTCTAATTGCTGGTGAAGAAATTATTGTTTTTTACATTGGTTAACTTAAGGGTGTAGTGGGCAAAATATTTGGCTGCTAACCAGAAAGTCAGTAGTTTAAACCCATCAGCTGCTCTGTGGAAGGAAGATGAGGCAATCTACTTCTGTAAAGATTTAAAAAAAAAAAAAAAAAACTCACTGCTGTCAAGCCAGATCTAACTCTTAGTGACCCCTCCTTGGGTTTCTGAGGTGGTGGTATCACTACAGTAGATCACCCAATCTTCCTTCCGAGGAGTGGCTGGTGGGTTTGAACCACCAGCCTTCTGGTTAATGCCTAATTCTCTTAGGCACTACACTACCAGAGCTCCTTATAGATTTATAGCTTTGGAAACCCAGTGGAGCTATGAGTTGGAATTGACTTGATAGCAGTAGGTGTTTTTTGTTTTCTTTTGTTTTGTTAACATAATACAATACGTATTTTGCCTTTGTGTTTTCCCCCTAAATTATGTTGTTGTTGTTGTTAAGTATCATCGAGTTGGCTCCAACTCCGAGTGACCCTGTGTACAACAGAACAAAACACTGCCTTGGTCCTGCACCAGCCTCACAGTCCTTGCTATACCTGAGCCCATTGTTTTAGCCACTGTGTCAATCCGTCTTGTTGAGGGACTTCCCCGTTTTTGCTGACCCTCCACTTTACCAAGCATGATATCCTTTTATAGAAATTTCGAGTCAATACCTGAATTATCTTATTTCCATGAACGCTGTCACACTGCCCTTTGACTCAGTAAAAAAATGCTTTGTTTTACTGAACTTTATAACTCCTCTTTGTTTGCTCACAAGAAAAACCATCTTCAAGAGAAATGTATTTATTCTGTTCATTGATTTGATGTGGTCTTTTGCATAATGTTGTTGTTGTTGTGTGCCCATTGAGTCAGATCCAACTCATAGCAACCCCTCCTTGGGTTTCTGAGGTGGTATCACTATGGAAGTAGATTGTCCAACCTTCCTTCCAAGGAGTGGCTGGTAGGTTTGAACCTCCAGACTTCTGGTTAGGAGTCAAGTGCCTTAGGTACTATGCTACCAGAGTAATGAATGTTAAATTTATATTAAATTTATATCTTTAGCATGCTTATGAAATAACCTTTTTTTTTTTTTTTTTTTTTATGTAATGCCAACATCAGTAGAGCATCCTAAATGGAACTGGCGGACTAAACCAGACAGCCGTGATTTTGATGAATTGAACCACATCCTTCAAGAGAGCAAGAAGCTGGGAAAAGCCCTTGAGAATCTCTCTCGAAGTAAGTTAATTTACTTGATCATAATTAAAATTTCTAACCAATACTAAAAGCAGACAGATTCATTATTATTGCCAGTAACCCATTTCCAACATTCTTCTTACAATTCTATGAGAGTCTGAGGAGTTTAAAGTGTGAGATTGAAAATGAGGATTGACTGTGCATATCACATAGAATCTATAAGAAGACTGGTTACACAGAGTAGGAGGAACTATAGAACCCCAGAGATACTTGATTCCAGCCTCTGCAACATGGTCTCCACCATCTTCTGCATTCTTCTTTGAAACATCCATAGTTTTGTGTCATTGTAGTTAATGGGCTTATCTGTTGCCTCTACTAGTTCTTGATTGTCCATAGTCAGGACATAGGAGAGATCAGATATGGGACATTGGTCCTGGGATAATGGCAGAGTCAAATAAGCCGCTAGATGAGTCAGCAGCTTGCTGGAATAAGGCATAACATTCAGCTTTTACAAATATGATGGAGGGTTGGTTGCCTTTGGCTTCACATGATTTTTAAAGGACTTTAATTTTATGGGGATGGTAGTGGGGTTTATGTGGGAGAAAAGATAGTTGGTCATGTAGGAAAAGATTACTCTTTTCTCTGTGGAATGTTTCTGAGTCTCTTTCTGAATAAAAGGCTACTTCCTTAGAATGACTTGAGTTTCTATGATTTTGCTATGTTGTTGTTATGTGCCATCGAGTCGGACCCAACTCATAGTGACCCCTCCTTAGGTTTCCAAGGCAGTATCACTATGGAAGTAGATTGGCCCATCTTCCTCCCAAGGAGTGGCTGGTGGGTTTGCAGTCAAGTGCCTTAGCCACTATGCTACCAGAGCGCCTATGATTTTGCTATATGAATTGTAATATTGACTCCTTGTCTTAGGTTCAACATGTTTACTACCAAGTTACCACACTGCCTGAGACTGTTAGTGTAAATTAGTTGAAATGCAGCTTTACTGGGAGCTCTGGTAGCATAGTGGCTAAGGCACTTGACTACTAACCAGAAGGCTGGCGGTTCAAACCCACCAGCCACTCCTCGGAAGGAAGATGGGGCAATCTACTTCCATAGTAATACTGCCTTGGAAACCCAAGGAGAGGTCCTATGAGTCAGGTCGTACTCGACGGCACATAACAATAACAACAACAGCAGCTTTACTAGTCTGTGTTCTCTAGTGCTGCTTTTAACAGAAATGCCACAAGTAGATGGCTTTAACAAACAGAAATTTATTTTCTAACAGTTTTAAAAAAAAACCCATTGACTTCGAGTCAGATCCGACTCATAGTGACCCCTCCTTGGGTTTCCGAGGTAGTATCACTATAGAAGTAGATTGCCCAACCTTCCTTCTGAGGAATGGCAGGTGGGTTTGAACCGCCAGGCTTCTGGTTAGCAGTTGAATGTCTTAGTCACTATGCTACCAGAGCTCCTGAACACATATTAGCATATGAAAAGTAGATTTTTATTACTTACAGTAGAAGTGGACAGTATACAACAGCTGAGCAGCTTCCCCTGCCTCAAAAGCTGTCTCTGTGATGACAACTTTCACACACACTCCATTTTGCGTTGTAGGTGGGAGACTTAAATGGGACAGTTAAATGGCATGTCAGTACCCCCGCACTCCCCACCCCCAGCTTCTGGAAACTGCCCCAATGAATATATATTCTTCCACACCAGCCCTCCACGTGGAATCATGGCTGAGGAACACAATAGGAACTTAACCTGCTGCCACTCCCAACCACTCCCTGCCCGGCCAGGTAGGTCCACTTGTTGTTGTTGTTAGGTGCTGTCAAGTTGGCTCCAACTCATAGTGACTCTGTGTACAACAGAACAAAACATTTCCCAGTCCTGTGCCATCCTCACAATACTTGCTTATCCCTCAGCCCATTATTGTAGCCACTGTGTCAATCCATCTTGTTAAGGGTCTTCCCTTTTTTTTTTGACCTTCCACTTTAACAAGCATCATATCCTTCCCCAGGGAATGGTCCCTGCTGATGTGACCAAAGTACATGAGATGAAGTCTGTCCATTCTTGCTTCCAAGGCACATTCTGGCTGCACTTCTTCCAAGACAGATTTGTTCATTTTTCTGGCAGTCCATGGTACTTTCAGCATTTTTCACCAATACCACAACTCAAAAGCATCAACTCTTCTTCAGTCTTCCTTATTCATTGTCCAGCTTTCACATGCATATAAGGCTATTGAAAACACCATAGTTGGTTGTTGTTGTTTGCCATCAAGTTGGACCCGACTCATAGCTAGCCCTCCTTGGGTTTCTGAGATAATATCACTACGGAAGTAGATTGCCAAACCTGAGTTAGGCATGCCTTAGTCTTCAAAGAGACATCTACATATGTCTCACTAGCACCATGGCTGAGGACACCACAAAGTGCCCCAATGGACTATTTTTATACTCCAAAGCCCACATGGAAGGCTGCATGGCCATGCCTCAGGGCTCACTGGGAAAGGGGGGCAGTAGAGACCTTCTCATGCCCCTTCCCTTCCTGAGGCCTGTTGCAAAGGAGATGAGTTGCAGACTCCCAGCTAATTTTTTTAAGGTCGGCATGGATATTTTAGAGAGATAAATGGTACTTTTAATTGCTCAGGCTATTTCCAGGAACCAGATACAAAAAACCATACTTAGTTCTTTGTGCTACTATACAAGTGTACATTGCTTAATGTTGGTTCACTTAATGTCTGTTCACTTAACATCCATTTGGGTAGCATCTGACCACATATATGTCTGTGCTCTCAAAGGTTATAATAGAGTTCAAAAATCCCAGTCAGAGAACAGGACATAGTGGATGTACTTTGCTAAGTAAAAAGATCTGATCTATCACTAGCTCTCCAGGTCCTGTGTCCACCCTAGCCCTAGGGTGGTAGGAGGAGGTGATCTTGGTGTCCATCTACCTCCACTGTGATAGCATCAGGCAGAACCACTCAGAAGCTGTCAGAGCACCGAGACCATGTCGCACTTTGCCCTGTGTGTGATACCTGGTTTTCTCTGTAGTGGTGGCCACCAAGTGATCTGGGCTGCAATGATGGTAGGAGAGCATAAACCAAACCCACTGCCATCAAGTTGATTCTGACTCATAATAACCCCCATTGGGTTTCTGAGGCAGTAAATCTTCATGGGTTTGAACCATCAAACTTCTGGTTAGCAGTCAAATACCTTAGGCGTTGCACCAAAGGAACCTGAAACCAAATTCACTGCCATTGAGTTGATTCTGACTCATAGTGACCCTCTTTGGATTTCTGAGGTGGTAAATCATTATGGAAGTAGGTTGCCTAGTCTTCTGTGGAGTGGCTGGTGGGTTTGAACTGCCAACCTTCTGGTTAGCAGTCAAGTGCCTTAGCAGGAAAAAGAGTTGAGGGAGGAGTAGTGAGCAGAGCTGGAAAAGTTTAAAGCCCATTAGGTATGGTGAGGAATGCAGACTTGGAGGAAGTGGCAGGTAGGCCAGGAGGCAGCCAGCTGGAGGGCAAGTGCACACTGTGGTGGGTAAGTAAGAGCTGGGAGTGGCTTTGGGAGATGGGGTGGCAATTGTCCAGGAATGACTGCCATGCAGGAATGGCACCCATGCAGGAACAGTAGCCATGTAGGAGCAGTAGCCATGTAGGAATGGTAACAACAGAGCAGCAGAGGCAAAGTTTTCACACAAAGTAAATCATGTAAAATCTTACTTCACAGAAAGCCTTGTGGATGTTAAGCAGTACATACCTATATTATTCTACAGTTTTGGGGAATGATTTTTGTTTCAGTAAGATCTCTGTGACCTCAGCTGTTCAATTATGAGTATAGTGTTCTTTTTCTGGCTTTTTATAAACCTTTCAATATAATGTTGTAGAGTCAGTCATGAACTGTGGCACTTTTCTTGATATTAAACTCATTGCCATCAAGTTGATTCCAACTCATAGTGACGCTATAGGATAGAGTAGAACTGCCCCAAAGACTTTCCAAGGCTGTAATCTTTATAAAAGCAGACATATCTTTTTTTCCATGGAGTGGTTAGTAGGTTTGAACTGCTGACTTTTCACTTAGCAGTTGGACACTTGATCCATAGCACCACCAGGCTCCTTTTCGGGACATTATTCTTTTGTAAAAGTAAACATGTTAGATTGACTGAAAGTGACTTGCAGTGCCATATGGTAGTGAGGTTGTAGGTGGAGTGTCTTTTTGGTGCCTGGCTACCTCCCTTTGCATCATTATTGAATTTTCTTCAAGCATTTCTTCTCTCCTCTTGGAAGCCTGGACTTACGCCCATTCCTTCAAGTGTTTACCTCCACTTGATATTCAATTTGTAAGAATAATTGTTTTAGAATATGAAACTTTGAAGATACAAGGCCCTCTCATCTCAAAATAATGCATCTCTTATACCAGTTGCAAGGAGACCCAGTGGCACAGTGGTTGAGTGCTCACCTGCTAACCAAAAGGTTGGAAGTTCAAACTTACCAGCTGCTCTGCAGGAGAAATATGTGACAGTCTGCTTCAGTGAAGATTATAGCCTTGGAAGCCTATAGGACAGTTCTGTTCTGTCCTATAGAGTCACTGAGTCAGAATCAGCTCTACAGCAATGGGTTTGGGATACCACTTGCTGTTAAGTGTATACCAAATCATGGCAACTCCATGTGTGTAAGTCAAACTGTGGTCCACAAGGTTGTCAATGGCTTATTTTTCAGAAAATGGACTGTTAGGCCTTCCCTTTTGAGGCACTTGTGGGTAGACTAGGACCTCTAATCTTTTGGCTAGCACCCACGTATGTTAACTGTTTATACCACTCAGGAATCTCGTAAAAGTGTCTGTGATTGAAGAGCCTGAGGGCGGGGTCCTTCTCAGTGCATCATATCTTGGCCTATCATCTGATTATGGGTGATATTAATCTTAATTGTTTGGTTAAGTTGATGTCTGCCAGGTTTCTCTACTGTAGAGTTAATATTTTCCCTTTATACTTGATAAACAGGGATACTTGAAATTATGAAAATATCATACTTCCTTTCTAACTTTTATCCA